CCCTCTCCAGCCCCTCATGGCCAGTCCCACCACTTGTTCCCTGGGGACACTGATGGGGTGGAGGGATGGCATGGAGGAGGCCTCTTGGTAACTCACCTTCTGGAGGCCAAGCAGAGCAGGGCCAGATGAAGTTTGCTCCAGCTGAACCCAGCTCCTGTACAAGAACAACACAGCTCTCCTGGTCGTGTTCGCCCAGAGCTGATGCAAACAAGCTGTTGGCAAAAGATGTTAGGGAGCTTTCAGACAAACCCTCCTTTCATGCTCCGGCACTTCCTCCTCTCCTTCCCCAGGCAGAGCTGCAGCGTGCTCCACGTGCCCGGCCCTGTTGCCCAGGAGGGAGAAGTGGTGCTCATGGCAGGGTTCTGCTTGCTTCTTCTAGGGAGACTGCCAGCACAGAGCCAGCCAGGCCATGTTCCTACAGGCAAACCTCCCAGACAAGACCCATGCAGCCATTGCCTGGGAATGGGACAGGTCTGGGCTCTTCACATCAGCTACAACAAGGAAAGGAGGAGTGTTTTCTGGAAGGGGTCGTGGAGTGGTCATCTTTAGGAAAATAGTTGATAAAACTCAAATAATAGAAGTGTTCTTCCCTTCAGGTTCCTGATGTGAAGTTACGGAAGCAAAAAGAGATTTGGACTCTTGTCCTTTTTCATGGGGAAGGGACCTTTGCAGGCTACCTGGCCCAGCCCTGCCCCAGCAGGGACACCCAGAGCAGGGTGCCCAGGAGATTTTCATGGACTATTTGGTATAAAAATGGAAAATGTGGGGAAAATGAGGGATCTAGGGATCTTACCACATTTCTTTGATATCCCTGAGCATCCAGACTGTTTTCAGTGGTGAGTGGAGACAGGACAAGGGGAAACGGCTGGAAACTGCAGCATAGGAAGTTCCGCACAAACGTGCGCAAGAACTTCTTTACGGTGAGGTGACGGAGCACTGGAACAGGCTGCCCAGGGAGGTGGTGGAGTCTCCTTCTCTGGAGATGTTCAAGACCTGCCTGGATGCCTACCTGTGCGACCTGCTGTAGGGAACCTGCTTTGGCAGGGGGGTTGGACTCGATGATCTCTGGAGGTCCCTTCCAACCCCTACGATTCTGTGATTCTGTGATTCTGTGATCCTCACATAGCTGTGCCAGCGCTGCTGCCCACGTCCCATGGCATTTGGCTGCTAGAGCTTAGCAGTGCTGCAGAGAAACCTCAGTGACAAAATGAGCTCCATCTTGCGCCCGAGGACAGAGGCACCATGGGGACAGAAAGCCCAGCAGCACCAGCCGCTCCCCAATAACTCGGTAACAGTTTGCCCCACACCCAAGCACAGCCATGTGTTTTTTCACAAGTGCCGAGCAAATGTAACCTCTGTGTTTTATAACTTTAATTCATTGATCAAGCTGATGTGTTTCTCCTTTGGACAAATAGTCATTACATCTGAGACTTTACAGCCAGGCTTTGAAGTTAATGTTCACTGAGATGAAGGAGAAAGTTCACACTTCTTCTATTGTTTCCATCCGCTTTGGCTGCACACCAGATAAGACAGCAATGCCTTAAATTTACAAGTGATGACTATTTTTGCAGCCAGAAAAGCCAAAAAACTGCTTAAAATAATAATGGCTCGAATCCCACAGTGCTCAGCAAAACGCTGGGAAAGGAGGGAAACGGATCCAGGAAATCTACGAATTTCAGCAGGGCTCATTTCGATGTTTACTATTTGGGCTGCGTCTGTCTCCCGTGCTGCCTGTGCTCCCTTCCCTGCTTTTTGCTGCTCCCTTGGAACAGGTGAAGGAAGCGCTGGATTCACAGTGGCTCAGCCCCAGGTTTTGGGTTGTAGGGCGCTGACGCAGCTCCGTAGCTGTGGAAGGAAGGACCTTCCAAGGGCCGATCCCACCTCTGCGCTCACATGGAGATGGAATTTGGTAAGGGCAGGACGTCCTCCTGAGCCTGGTGCAGCTGACGAGCGGGTAGATGCTCGTCAATGGAATATTATTTACAAGATTTCCAACACTCAAGATATAATTTAGCTGTGAGTTGCACTGCGACTGTGCTACGCTCTATCAGAGACCAGCACTCTGGGGCTGACGGCTGTGCTGCACACCGAGAAACCCTCCTCTTCCTCCTCAGTGCCCAGGGGGAGCCTGGAGCAACAGCTCCGATTCAGCTCCCCTCTGTGGCACAAAGTGCCCCGTCTTGGCCTTGGGAGCAGCCATGGGGTCCGGCAGCGCGGTGCCTCGATGGAGCCCGCGAGGTGCGGGGCTCTGCATCCCGTCAGCCCCCCGGGAGGAAGCCGGGCAGGTTTTTATTAAATCAAGCTCCCAGCCGATTCCTACAGAAGGGCTTTTTGAACTGGGAGCTGAACCTTATGTCTGGTTCCCTGCCAAGCACGGGACTGCGCGGGGAGGAAAGGAGATGTATTTTTGGAGCCCGTGTCTGCAAGCAGGCTGCTTGCTCCCATTAAAGCCGCTGTTGGTGGAGAATCCTCTGGTGGCAAAACAGATGTGGGGGCCCGGCGCGGTGACAAGATGTATTTCTGGTGCTCGCGTGGATGAGCGTTCTCGTGGAGGACTTTTCTCATGCCGTCATGATTTTATTGTTTAATTTTAACCAAAGCTGGCGGAGCGCCCCGCTGCCTTGCGATAAACGTGTTTGTTTACTCACCTCGTGGTAACCGGAGAGGCGGGCGGGCTCCGCTCCTCGGCGCTGCTCGCGTCGTGCTGCCGTGCCCGGGGACGCAATGCGTGGCGCTGACACCGCCAGCACGGGGCTGCGCCTTGGCTCCGGCTGCCGCGGAGTGAACAGAGTGTGCCGGGAGCTGGAGTTTGCTCTGAATGAATGTTGCTCTTAACAGGGCTATGTTTATTGCCCACACTTTGGGCTGTGCTTAATGCTATACAAACACATGGTGTGCGCTGCATGGATACTCCTGCAGTTCTAAGCTTCCGTTTAGTGAGGCGCTGGCACAGGTTGCCCGGAGAGCTGGTGGATGCCGCACCCCTGCAGACACCGATCAGGTTGGACGGAACTCTGAGCACCTGATGCAGCTGTAGGTATCCCTGTTCATTGCAGGGGATTCGGACTAGATGGCCTTTAAAGCTCCATTCTCAAACAATTCTATGATTCTATGATTGTAAGTGTGTTTTAAAATATACTGGGTGCATGGCTGCTTTAGAAAGCAGTGGCATCTCTGTGCCTTTGCTGGAAAAGCCAGGAATGCAAGTGCACATCTGAAAGGGAATTTGCAGCACCATTCATAACGTGTACTTGGATTTCTTGCTGACTCGTCCTTCCTTGGGCACGGCACTGAGTCCAGGCTCTGTTATGGTACAGATCATCATTTCATAGAATCATAGAGCCATTTGAGTTGGGAGGGACCATGAAATGTCACCTAGTCCAACTCCTTGCACTGAACACCTACGGCTCCATCGGGTGCTCAGAGCCCTGACCAACCTGACCTCGAGTATCTCCAGGGATGGGGCAGCTACCACCTCTCTGGGCAACCTGTGCCACTGCCTCACCACCCTGACTGTAAAATCTTTTTCATATTCCCAATCTAAATCTCCCCTCTTTTTGTTTGAAACCATTTCCCCTTGTCCTATCATGACAGACCCAGCCGAAGAGTCTGTCCCTTTCTTTCTTATAGCCTGCCTTTATATACTCGCAGCCTCCCTTTAAACACTGGCACGAGGGCAGCCAAGCTCTACACCACACCTCTATAAGCAGCAGAGCATCGCATATGGAAGGCATAACAGGAGATGATGGTAAATTTTTGCTTTGACATTATAGCTTAAGTTAAGTGAAAAGGTGTCAGCCTTGGCCTGGGCTTTCATGAGTGCCATGGGTGGACCGTGGTTATTTGGGGCTCTTCCAAACATCCCCAACCTCTTCCAAAAAGAAAAACTCGCAATCTGTTCTCAATTGAACCTTAAAGCCATAAAATCCAGGTTCCAATAAATCTTCATTTTATAAAAACACATCGAGCACAGAGCAAACCAGAGCCCATAAAAGAAATTAAAACACGTGTGGGTCACATACTCCGCTGGATGCCCCTTAACAGCATTGCAAAATTAGGGATTTAAAGAGGAGACAACGAGGTGAGATTTCGCTGTGAGTTTTGGCACCTCCTCCAGGTCCCAGGGGCCGGGGCAGGCACCGCTGAGGACCCCCAGATCCCTGGTGGCACGGGAGCTGTGTCCCTCCGTCCCGCTGTGTGCGTGCTGCTGGCCATGGCCATGGCCCCACGGCCCCATCCCAGGGGGGAGCCAGGAGCTGGGGTTGGTGAAAGCTCCATGTGTTGGGGGAGAAGAAAGCAGAGCGGTGTTTGGAGAGGCTCCGCTTGCCCGTTGCAGTAAAGCTGAAGTGCAACGCAAAAATGAAAGCAGCTGGGATTGTGCTGCGGAGAAATGGGCTTTAACAAGCTCTCTTTCAGGGCTTTAAAACATTTCTGCCTGTGATGTAATCTTGACATTTCCTGGCTCGCTGGTGATTTCCTCGGATCAAACACCCAGAATCCCAGGAACCATCGCAAGTCAGTCGCCACATCCCAGGAAACACTCAGCATCCCGCGTGGGCACCAGGAGCAGTGAGGAGGTCACAAAGAGCCCCTCTCACCTTCCTGCTCCCACCTGGCACCCCGCCTGTGCTGTGTGCTGTACAGTGGGCTCTGCAGACAGGCTGCAGGGGGACCCCACCGCTCTGGCCGTTAATTCATTTCTGTGCTTTCCTTAAAAAGTGTTTTGGAAACGGCTCAAAAAACCTGGGTGTTTTCCAATGGGAGCTGCACCGTTTGGAAGCCCAGACTTTAAATCAAGATATGATCTATTTTCTTACATCTGTTGTATTATGGCAATTGCATTAACCTTCAGGTGACTTCCTCGAGCAGTAACAACCCAGTCCAAAACCAAGCAAAGCCCTACAGACTCTGGGAGCCCTCCTAAAGATTCATTACATTTCTGCTAACGATGTTCTGAGATGGAAAATCAGGGAAGAAACAAGAAAGTGAAGAAAAAAAAGTAAAACAAAAGAATCCACCTCATTTATTTTTCAGTATTTCAGAAAGAGGTGTTTTTAGCATCTCAGAATGGATGCCATCCATGGGGACTTGAGGAAAATAGAGACAGTGGGGATGATGGGGAATGATGGAAAGTGATGAGGATGATGGGGACAGTGGGGACAAGGGATGATGGGGGCAATGGGGACAATGGAGATGATGGGGATGATGGTAATGATGGGGAGAATGGAGTTGATGGGATGATGGGAATGAGGAGTATCATGGGATCATAGCCATGATAAGAATGCTAGGAGTGGTGGATATAATAGGGATGATGGGAACAATGAGTGTCGTGGCATCACGGGGGTGATAAGAATGATAGGGATGGTGGGATGATAGAGATAATGGGGACAATGGAGATGGTGAGGAAGCAGGGTCCAAGGTCCAGGTGCTGAGAACAGCTCACATTCACTTCGCAGCACAGTCACCTCTTTGCAGTTTGGCACACGTGAACACCGCTGCCTTTTTCACCAGCTCCCAGAGAAGCAATATGGTAAATCTGGAAGCTCAGTTAGAGCAATGAAATAGGAAACCATGTGATTTTCATCACGCTGTGAACACAGATCTGTGCAGCCGCTCGTGTGCCCCCCGTGCCCCCTCCTTGCCCGCATCACTTTGCTCTCACGTTCTGCAGTGTGCACAGAGCAACCCCAGCCTGCAGAGCCCCTGCCCTGGGCATCTCCAGCAGCTGCTGCAGTGAGAGCAATGGGGAAGGAGGGAGGGTTTCTCCCCCATTTCGTTACCTGAACCCCAATAGCACCACTCGCTGCTGAGCTGTGAGCACACTGTGCGTGTGCTGCGTCCCAGGATGTGAGCTGTGTTTGTGTGTGCCTCTCTGCCTCCTGAAAAACAAAACATGGGGGGAAGTGCATTAAAAAAGACGTCACCCACCAACAATGCAGAGTGCTCATGGCTTTAGAAACAGCGCTGAAAACATTCTTCTTATTAAACACATCCTTTGTTTGTGATTCCCATTCAAACTGTAAGTAATCGACCAAGGTAACCGCAGCCCCACCCACCACTGCAAAAAGAGAAAGTGAAAGACGAGCAGACAGATGGGTTGTGCTGGGCCAGCAGAGCCTCAACCCCACAGCCTCAACCCCACAGCCCCACAGCTTGGGGGTGGCAACGCTGGCCCTCCATGTCATGTAGGGGCATCAGCTGCACACCACGTGTGGGACCGGCACCCCAAAAACAGGCCTATCCACACTCACAGAACAACTTTTCTTTATAAAAGAATACATCTGAGGCAACAGGAATAATGTTATGCATCCCTGCTTACACAGTGTTGCCCCACGTTTTGCTTGACCAAAGTCCTCCAAACGCCTGTACACCAACAAGCGGCCTTCCAGGACTTGAGGGGAGCTTACAAGCAGCAGGAGGAGTGGCTTTTACATGGTCTGATGGTGATAGGACAAGGGGGAATGGCTTTAAACTAAAAGGGGAAATATAGCTTAGATGTCGGGGTGCAATTCTTTACTCAGAGGGCAGTGAGGCGCTGGCACAGGCTGCCCAGAGAGGTTGTGGGTGCAATAGGAGCAGGAGACAAAACCAGTGCAGCTGGCTGGCTTTAGGAGGAAAGCTGCGTGTGCTCCTTAAAGCCAAGGCATCTCGGGAGGATTCATAAGCAGGGATGGAGCGGTACTGCGGGATTCGCAGCCTGTGTTTGTGTCTCAGGGATGCACGTGGTTGAGGCTCCATCTCATTCACGGCAGTTCTGCTTCTGTGCTGCCAGGAGCAGTAAGTAAGAGGGAAGTTGTAACCGGAGCCTCCCTTTTCTTAGAGCCCTGCTGTTTCCTGCAGGCTGGCGGCTTCAGCGCAAATCACAGCTCTGCTGTGCTCCGAGGCCATGATAAATGATTCAGATGGAAAAACAGCAGCACACAAGTAGGAGCAGGAGATAAGGGGACAAGGGTGAGGGTGGCCGACCAGTGCCACCAGTCCACATGGGACATAAGCAAACCAGGAGGTTCTTGGAGTGTTCTTAAAGCTTCCTCCTCCAAGCGACAAAGGAACCAAAAGGAGAGGACCTTGTGGCCACCAGCAACAAGGGGCTCGCTGGGGATGTGGAGGATGGAGGCAATCTTGGCTGTTGTGACCACAAAATGGAGGAGGTTGGGATCCCAAGAGCAAGGAGGAGCGATAAATGCCAGCTCACAACCCTGAACCTTTGTAGAGCAGACTTGGGCCTCTCCAAGGATCTGCTGGGTAGTCTTGTGGGGTAAGGCCCTGCAGGGAAGAGAGGCCCAAGAGAGCTGGTTAGCATTCAAGGATCACCTTCTCCATGGACATCTTCCAGTCCATGGGCCCTGACCAAATGCACCCATACGTGATTGTGAGGCCATTCTCTATAATCTTTGGTCAATCGTGGTAACTGGGAGATGTGCCTGAAGGCTGGAGAAAAGTAAGTGTCACTCCTGTCTTCAAAAAGGGCAAGAAGGAGCACTTGGAGAATGGCTGGCTGGTCAGTCTCACTTTAGTCCCTGGGGTGGTGATGGAGCAGCTCACCCTGAAAACCATTTCCAGGCACATGAAAGAGAAGAAAAACATCAGGAATAGCCAGAGTGGATTCACCAAGAAGAAGCTGTGCCTGATCAACCTGATAAGCTTCTATAATGAAATCATCAGCCTCCTGGATGGGGAGGAAAAGTGAATACTGTCTCCCTGGATTTCAGTATGGTCTTTGACTCCATCTCCAGTAAGATCCTCAGAGAGAAGCTGCTGAAGTATGGGCTGGATGAGCAGAAAGAGAGGTGGATCAAAAATGAGTTGAATGGCCGGGCCCAGAGGGTCTTGGTGAGAGGTGCAGCCTGTCTGGAGGCCAGCAACAAGCAGAGTGTCCCAGGGTCATTATTGGGTCCAGTCTGTTTCACATCTTTAACGATCCAGATGATGGGACAGAGGGCATCCTCAAGAACTCATGGATGGCACAGAACTGGAGGCAGTGTCCAACTCACCAGAGGGCCACACAGTGCACACACTGCAGCCCCGCTGGCCCACCCTGGGGGCAGACAGCCACCAGCTCTTTGCCATCAGCAGTTTATAGAGCAAAACCAAACCCTTCCACCAAGTCTGTGCTTAAAGCTTCCATTCTAAAGAGCTCAGACTTTGATGAATCCTCACCTGCATTTACCGTATTGGTTTTTCAAACATAATGCCTGCATGTGGGATCATCTTCATGAGAAGGTATTGCTACAAACGTGTCAACAAACTGAAACGCACATAAACACTGCTACAGTCAGGTCTGATCATAAAACATGAGTCACCGTTGTTCAATCATTTGCTAACCCACATTTATACAAGTTATCTCTTCTAAAATCATCACCACATACATCTTAGATTTCATTTTCTTTCTGAAAAAAGAGCTGCAAGTTTTGCTTTTTACTGAGCCAGTGATCCTTATCTGACACCCAGCACCGTGCTGCACCCATTGCATTTTTGGTTCTTGCTGCCTGATGCTATGACCAGGGGGAAAACACCCCGAATGGGCACAAGCAGGAGCTCGCTCCATTGTGGCAGCCAGCAGTTTGCAGGCAACATGAAAGAAGCAGAGTTCTGCTGCCCTCCTCCCTGGCTCAGCAGAGTGATGCCCTCACCTCTCCCAGCCCCGTTCTCCAGGAGCACAGGCTGGCATCGGTCCCATTTCCTTCTTACGCTTCGATTTCAAGAGCACCGGGGCTGTGTAATGTGTTCCTGCTCATTTCTTAGGTGTTATTTTCACTCTCCATAGCAAACACAGCAAGCATCGCAGCGCCAGTCCTCGGTGTCCACTTCGTAAGCGTGACTTTCTGGAAGGCGTCTTCCAAGCAGCGTTGGAGCCGTGACCTCTCGCTGCCGTAAGGCATACAGGGAGCTGGGTCCTTTCCAGACATTCAAGCTGTAGAGTTTGGTCTTTCCTGTTTTTCTTGAAGAACTTTTGGGAGGTCAGAAACGTGTTCTTTGAGCTTTTGCCACCTTACAGATGAAAGGCTGCTGGAATCATTAGGATGAATTTCCTCTGTGCCAAAAGTTGCTCGTTTAAGTCAAGTATATTTTAAAGCTGCAAGCAGAAATTTTCAAGGTGTAACTAAAAGTGCCCGTTTCCTTTTCTTGCCATCTCCTTGCTCTGCCGTCTCACTGCACAGTTGGATGCACCTCCAAAGGCAAAGCTCCATCTTCTGGGGTGGCCAACAGGCAGACCAAGCTCACGTGCAGCCGACGGCTTTCATTCCATTGTAAAGCTGCACAAGGGAAGACTTGTCTCTCTTGCAGGTCACCTCTACCAGCAATCACTTCAGCAAGATGGATTTCAGAATTAGGTGCTCTCAAAACAACCTGCGCTGTATTTTTCAGCAGCACAAAGCAGCCGTAAGAACAATCTGACCTTCATTCATAATAGCAAATCCACTGGGACCAAAATCCATCTTTGATTTTCTGTTTGAGTTGCTGGCAAAGGAAATCCAGGGGGGCACGACATACACAGCACAGGAGACAGTGTTACAAAACTGTACAAACCTCCTGGGGATAGGCTTTGCATGGGCTTTACTCAAATTTAGTTATTCTGTAGTGAAATAAGCAGTGCTGTTCCTCTAAAGGGAAATCATTAGAGTAACTCTGTGTGAATAATACTGCCTCAGAGTGTTTTTTCAGTTGTGGGGCACGGAGTTTATTAAGGAATGCCCACACTGTGGCATTGTACTGCACTCGTTTGTAAAACACCCCTTCCCATCTTTCAGAGGCCAAGACCATGCCCACCCCAGCCTACCAAAGCAAAATGCCACACACTCTTCTTTTAAAGCAGAGGCCAAACGATGCGCTGCGTGGCCTTTACTAAACTACAGCATGATGGCAAACTAAAGGCTATAGCCAAGGAATGGCGTTTGGATGTACTTGGATTGCTACCACCATTAATAAATGATGAGTGCATTTGTGACCTGAATGCCTTTAGCTGGTCGGCTGCTGTGGGCAGACCCTGGAAATGGTGAAAATTAATCACCTCTTGTATTAAATACCACCTTTGTATTTTGCCATGTCTCCGTTACAGATTTGGTATTGAATGACGTATTACAGTCCAACGCAGCGCAGCGGCTTTATGCCCTTAATCTTCCTCTGAGCCTTGCTGGGAAGGCAGGCAGGAGTGAACTCGCAGGTTTAACCCTTAGGGCAGTGAAGACGAAGGAAGTTCTGCTCAGCTTCGCTCGCCAGCCATACGAAGAAGCCCACACTGCTGCTGCAGCCTGACAGCGACTCTCCTCAGTCCCTGCTCGCAGCCCAGGCAGCTGTTCCTCACCCAGCAGCACAGATGTGGCCAGCAGTTCAGCCAGCAGTGCCAGCATCACCGCAGCGACGCCGCAGAAATCCCTGCAGCCACTCGGTGCCTCTTAGTTCAGTTTTCCAGTGGTCCGTCACCCAGAGGCGTTTTGTTACACCAGCTCAGGATTTCCCCAGACCTGGTGGGACCACTGACAGCACTGCAGAAGGGATGAGCGCTTTCCCTACACCCAGTCTGAAACTGTAACTCCTATAAAGCCGGTGCCTACGATCGCATCTCCTCTCGTGGCTCCAGCTCAGAACTACCCCTCACCAATATTCCAGTTCTTACTAAACCAATCCCATTTCTTGTTTGCAACAGGATCTTTTTGCCCTTTACAGTGCACGTTTCTTTGAAGGTTAAAGCTTTTAGAAAATGCTTTTTGTTGTGACAGTGATGCCAGTGTTGTCCAGCCCCCTCCTAGAGCACCGCTGCCTAAATGGCTGCAAACGGCACTCGTTATCCCTCCGCAGGCACCAACAGTTGGAGATGACCCAGAGGCAGATTTGGGTGAAACTGCCAGCATGAAGCGACCTCAGGTCAAGTAATCTTGTAGTAGTCGAGCTCGACCTACTATTGCCAACCGTCAGGCTCAGCTTCTACTACCAGGATGCTGCCGCGTTGGAGCTCACGGGTATGCAGAGCACAGTGAGGTGCCCTCCAGTGATAGCTCTCAGCAACTTGTATTTTAACAGAGTTCCTCCACCTAATGACGGGATTTCCCCCCAGGTGTAATGGCTTCAGTATTTCAATAGAGCTTTCCAGGCGACACAACCCATGCCCAATCTCCCATGCGCAAGCTCCAAGGACTTACAGGCACCTACCAAGCACTCATGACAAAACCTTGGCCTCCCTCCAGAACGTCACACAGCCCTCTGCCACCCTCAGCCCCTGCAGGTTGGTGGCGGTTCTCCTCCTCAGAAAGCAGCGTTGGGAACACCTCCTGGCCTTCAGCCTCGAGCACACCGTCTTGGCTGCTAATCCCTGAGATGAAGGCAAGCTCTACGCCCGGCTGTAAGCACTGCCACTCATCTTTTAAGGCTCATCTACGTAGCTTTTATCAACGTCCAGCAAATCTGTGCAAACTGAGGCACAAGATGAAGGGACCCCCTTCTTGTTCCGAGAACAAGAATCACAGAATGACAGAATGGCCTGGGTTGTAAAGGAGCACAAAGATCACTGAGTTCCAACCCCCTGCTATGTGCAGGGTCACCAACCAGCAGACCAGGCTGCCCAGAGCCACATCCAGCCTGGCCTTGAATGCCTCCAGGGATGGGGCATCCACAGCCTCCTTGGGCAACCCGTCCCATCTACTTTCCACCTTCGATGAGAGAAACACAAAGCCCTTCAGCACTGAAACTTTACGTCATCAGCTCATTTAGATGGGCAATACCCAATTAAAAAGAAAACCAAACTCATCTGTCCTGGGTGTTCTGCATCACAGTCTTTTGAAGAGCATCTTCCTTCTGTTTGAAACAGAAAGCGGGGACGTAAACGTATCTGAAAATACCAACGCAAAGAAATAAAATCCCTCAGGATATTAAGTGAGCCACTTAACTAAGTATTAAAACCTCTGCAATTATTAGTTTATTAGTATCATCCAGGATTCAGATGTTCAATATTTCTCCTGAAGTTATACATAAATGCAAATTGAAATAAGAATCTGAAAGTCAAAATCGTATAACAAAACAATACTCCATCACAAAAGCGTGTAAAATTACAAGAATGCTTTTTTTTGCTTTTTTTTTTTTTTTTTTTTTTTTTTTTGCTCCTTTTAAACACTGGCACTTAAAGAGAACCATAGTTTTGTAACCACAGAATTGCCAAATTGTCCCCCAAACTGGTAAGCAGGTATATGTGAGAATAGTTACAGTTGCCAGCACTTGAAGTTGTACTAAATATGCAAGAAAAAAACCCCATCAACCCTTAGGCTTTGGTTTTGGAAGAGAACTGCATTTGACCAAATTAGACGGTGTTGGTATACCATAAACATTTCACTTTTTAATGCAAAATTTAATAAAATGTACTTTTCCATACAGCTATATTTAACTTAAAAATGGGCAGACATCGAGAGTGCGGTATAAAACCTAACAGGAAAAATACATCTTATCTCATTTTCAATTTGAGACAATATACAACTTTGTTTAAAGGGCTAAAACTAGAATTTCAAGAATACAAATATGAATTTACATAGATTTAACAAATAATAATGGTACCATTTATAGAAATCTTAAGAAAGAAAAAATCATTTCTCGTGGGCCGTTTGCTACCAGGAGAGTTTCATGGTATAAAGCCCGCGGCCATCGCCAGACCCGTCACCAAAAAATAATATGGTCATTTCATGCCTTTCACTTTACACACTGCAGGTACGTTCACCTCCCACGAGTGCTCAGAGATTTACACATCCGACCTCCGTTACATGGCAACGCGGTCACACCTGTAAATGTCTCCACCCCGGCCGGACAGACACGCTCTTCCTATGGGTCCTTCCAGGACAAAACGCAACATCCGCTCCCTCCCTCCCCCCAGGAGTATTTCACTTCTGTTCAACTGAACTCTATACTTCTCAACTCTCCAAGACTGGTAAATTCATGCAACAGAATATTACACTTCACAAACTTCCGAATGAGCATCGCTTTGACGAGATCGGGTTCTTTTGTTTCCAGTTACGGAAGAATATTCTTTCATCGCACGCCTATAGATTTCTTTTCTTACCCTATCATGAATATGCAGGGTATGCAGATCAAAGCTGTGTTTATCAGCTGGATATATGAAAGATGAAAACTGTAATATTCACGTGATCCCAAACGGGCATTCAATAAAGCAAAAGATGAGCTCCCCTCAAAAAAAAAAAAAAAAAGAGAAAAGAAAAATGATTTTCCAGGGCACCTATTAAAAGGACAACAATACTAATAAAAAAAATTGTATTTACTTAGAAGCATTCAGAATGTCAACAAAACAGCTGCAACTTTCTTTTTCCTTTTTGCAATTACAGAGTGGTATTCAATTAACAGAACGACAATTATTTTTATGATGCATCAGAGACAACTGAAGATGAGAAATGAACTACATCCCCAAACAGAACTAATTTGTGCTGTGCACCAACAAGAACCTGCTTTAAAACTCCCATGCCAATTTACAACCCCCACACTGTACCAGGCAAGGTTAGTGGCCATTGAAATACCACTAAGGACAGGGCTATCTAAAGACACATTCGGTAGTGTGTTAACTATACAAAAAAAGAGACACTGTACAGTTTAAAAACAAATCTTACACAGCCTTACATTTCATTTTTTTTTTTTCTTTAAAAGGAGTGAGTTGTGTACAGGGGGGTTAAATGCTTTATAGACAAGAAAGAAATTGCTCTAAAAGAGACTTATTCATCATCATCATCATCTTCCTCCTCCTCTTCTTCCTCTTCTTCATCCTCTTCATCCTCTTCGTCTTCGTCCTCATCTTCCTCCTCTTCCTTCTTCTTCTTGCTCTTCTCAGCCTTGGCAACTACTTTTTTGCCTGCATCAACCTTCCCTTTGGCCCGGTACGCAGCAATATCCTTGGAGGAGAAAAGCAGGAAGAATCTCTTAAAGTTTAACCACTCCAGAGCTCTGAGCAACTTCCAAATGACATTCATGAAACTGGAGCTACCCGGGCGTCTGCACTGGGCAGGACCAAGAGCTGTGGCTTCAGTTACAACAAGGTGAACTGAGGCCCAACAGCAGAAAAAGGAGGGAACGGAAACCTCTACCACAGAAACAATATTCACATGCTGCCACTCAGTGCTTCTGGCTGCTGAGGAATCTCCACTGACAGGCTTTTAATAAGGGGTCGGAAGAGCTGCTGCCTCAGAGGGGAGAGGCACAGCCGAACCCGTTTCCCCGTAAGGAAATGAAGTAGGGAGACCTCTTAAGGTCCCTTCCCAGCCCTATCTTCTGTGTCAGCTAAAGAAAAGCACACAGAAGTACTTACCTGAGGCACAAAATTATAATTAGCCACCCAAAACACGCTAAGATGACACGGCATAATATCTGCAATGTTATGCCTCAGCAGAGAGCAATCACACAGAATTCTGCTTGACTGAAGTTTACAAAATAAAAGGTATAGGAACTTTGATTAAAGGGTAGACAGTGCCACCTTCTGCATGCAATAAATTTATTCCAGCAGTTTATAACGCACAAAATTCAGTTCCTGTTATAGGAAGTCAAAACTGTACATGGAAGACCAAGACAGAAAAGCAGTCAGACTCCCCAGCTTTAAGCCAAAATCAGAAGAAACACAACAGAACTGATCTACAGGACTCTCAAATGCATCAGCTAGAGGGAAACGTGAGCAGCTTTGTGCAGACAGTCCAAATCTTCCATTCCCCGTCCCACCAACGTTACACCACCCCTCTCGCACTTAAAACTTAGCATGAAGTCTGTAGAAGAGATGATATCCACGAAGCAAAAGGCAACCAGTGAGGTACTGAGCTTCCTGCTCCTCAAAAACCCATTTGTAAATGTAAGAAATGAAGATACGGATAGCACAATACCACAGAAATGAAGGCATCTCGGACTAAAGAGTGATGACTGTGCCACGTATGAAGTTCCTCAGGCACTGTCAGCTCTGGATGTAAAGAACACTGAGCGTGCTGAGAGCTTGAAGCTGCACCAGAAGGACAACACAGGAAGCCTTTTGCACCTCCACCCCTCTCCAGCACGTGGCTGATGAGCTCTCACAGAGCACACCTTGTTCACAACCGTGCTACAATCCTGAAACTGTTTTGTTGGCCAGCAGGAGATGTGCCCAGCCTGAGGCCATGGCACACACGCAGACTGAGACCTCGGTGACTCTGTGACTCTACACCACATACAGCAGCTATCGCTGAGCGCCGGCCCACTAAAAGCATCAGCACAGATGCTGGCAGCACACCCCCTCCCCACTTGGTTTCCTCACCCTAGGATGGGAATCTGCCTCACGAAGAACACACACAGCACTGCTCTGCACGTGCAACGTGCTGCTCCTGTTATGACGACGAGGTTTAGCTGGAACGATTCAATAAATTGTACGATACACTGCTTCCTATGTGCTGTAACTGTTATATTACTAGAAAAGAGGGCATGCAAAGTAGATAGAGGAAAAAGCACATCTACTGCTAGCATCTCACAAGTGTTCTGACATCACCCCAACAATAAACTAAAAATAGCACCTATGTATTTCAATCATTTCAATAGGCAGGGATACATAACCCCTCTAAAACAAGAGAAACATTTTACTCTTTACTGATGTTACTTAACACTACCATCTTAACTCAGATGCTGCTGTGACCTATTGTTGTAATAACAATACAGACACGATGGTATCTATTAAACCATCATCAATGGCCCTGAGTCACAGATGAACGAAAAACATTCAACACACAGGACTCCAATTCTGTGATAATGGTGTCCTGTATGCCCTCTGAGTGACACTGTTCTAAAAGTGTGATGTTTGTCCTTAGCTCACGATGATGTGCAACATCAAATATTAGGGTACATGAGAATGGAGAAGTGTCTGTGTGGTTTGTTCTCCCCAAACCACCTCCATAAACGCCAGCATTACCTTCTCATACTTCTCCTTCAGCTTAGCAGCCTTCTTTTCATAAGGCTGTTTATCATCTGCTGCGGTGTTGTTCCACATCTCTCCCAGTTTCTTTGCCACGTCCCCAATGGACAGACCAGGATGTTCTCCTTTGATTTTTGGACGAAACTCAGAGCAAAACAAGAAAAAAGCCGAACTACAGACACACACCCGCGGGGGGCGGGAAGAAAAACAAAAGTATTTTAATTTTAGACTTTAACCTATTGTAACAAAAAGTTTTTTGACCTTATTTACTTTGGAACATCACCTAAAAGCGAAGCAAAGATTGATTACAGTGGAAGATATCAGAACTAAACAAACTACCTTGAAAACTTAACACATACTTGTCTCCAAGCAACGCTGCACATCTGGTCTCGTTTTTGGCAGGACCCCCACAGGAGCCAATTTTATATACCATATGCAGAGTAAGTCCTTAAGAGAATGACTGAATGGTAAGAAGAGAGCAAGAAAGCAGCAGTGATTTGTCGTGAGAATTAGGATTTCAGGATGACAGCCCCAATAAAGACTTCTCCACACCTTCCAGCATTAATTCATTAGGAACTGACACACACACACACACACACACACACACACAAAGATGTATTCCTACAAAGCACCAGGTGAATCTGAACTCAGCAGTTCTGGCTACAATTTTAATTCTCCAAGCTGTTTTGTGCATGATCATCCCTCTAGCTTGTTTTGTGCACAAGGCTCTACGTTTAAGTGGACTGCCAACTAAAATTCCTGCTTGAGCCAACAGGTGATGAGAATGGCTACAAGTATTTGACCACTGTTTGCCATCAGAATGATCCCTTTTTAAAGAACTTGGAAACATCAGTCAGAACTGCGCATTGTACATTTTTGCATCTGCTTTTAGAGGCTGACATTATTCCAACTTGAAGTGGACCAACCTGAAAACAAAAGCCTAATATTCATTATTAAATTTTCAGCCTATCTTAACATCACTGGCCAGGAAAACCAAGTCAGCCTGTACTTCTGAAGCTCCCAAACTTGGATGAAATGATCATTTTATAGTGTGATAGTCCTGAACAATACAGCCTAACCAGAAAACCACTTACGGAGGCCTCTTCGGTGCATTTGGATCCTTGAACTTCTTTTTTGTTTCCCCCTTAGGTGGTACATAGTTTTTCATTTCTTTTTCATAACGAAGCTTGTCAGCCTTTGCCATATCTTCAAACTTCCCTTTCTCCTTAGAAGACATAGTCTGTAAGGCAATTAAAACAACACTAAGATTTGAGAGCACATCCAGGTCTGCTCCAAAATTTCAGCTGGGGGAGCTAAAGGTAAGGCAGGAACAACGGAGAGTTATTTGCCTCACAAGTGTATTTCCTATATATCTAAAACCACAACTTTTTACATAAATAATTGACAAGTTTGAATAACATTTCACGCAGGGCAGCTGCTTAATGCTTTGTTTTTAAGGCATTTCTCCTACCTTCCATCGTTCTGAGCATTTTTTTGAGAACTCTGAGAAGTTCACTGAAGCATCTGGATGTTTCTTCTTGTGCTCCTCCCGGCAGGTTTGCACAAAGAAGGCGTATGAAGACATTTTACCTCTCGGCTTCTTAGGATCACCTTTGCCCATTTTTGAGGATTTTCTGCAGCAAGGCAAGAAAGACACCTTTAAAACTTTTCCTTTCTACAAGCCAAGGCAGGAAGTAAGCCATGATGAACAACTGTGCTGAACAAGACTTGTTACAGCAGTGCTCTGAAATCATACAGCGGGAAGAAGTTTCTCTTCAGGAGTATCTACTGAGGGTTTTGACCAGCGCTGCCTGAGGTAACTTGGCAGATACAACCGATCACACAACGTGCAGTTCCGGTCTCTGACAAGCAAAAACGCCCCTTGCAAGCAGCCTGCAGTAATTGTTAGCACCAGGGCAATGGGAACCACACTCCTATTGATAGCGTACCAACCACTGGCCTCAGCAGAACGCCTTATTCTTAAGGGGAAAAGTATGAGAGCATCCTCTCCTTTGGGTTACTACATTCTTTCTCCACACAGCCTTCCCATCGCTCTGCCCTGCAGACCTTTGGGGCTTATTTACAAGACGCACACACTGGGGGCTCGTTTACAAGAGACCCGTTATTGTTACGTGCTGTACATTATTGCTGTCCTGCAAATGCACCACAAGAAGCTGCTCCGTGCACGCATCCACAAATACGGGCATGAAGCACTGCTGTCACCAAGGCAGGGATGTGAGTGAGTGAGTGAGCAGTGGGACGCTTCTTCATGCCCCGCTCTGCAGCAGGGCCTGAGGGCACGAGAAACCTCGGGCTCTGGGAGCGCTTCTCCAGCGCGGCCTGTGGAAAGCTCACAGGCAGGAATCGGCGGAGAGGAAAGGAAAAAACAAAACAAAACAACACAAAACAAAGCCCACCCCACCGCGGGCCGCCCGCATCGCCGCAGCGGCGGCACTTCCTATCGGTTTGGCGGATAGACAGAAGCAGATTGCCGCTCCGTGACCGAACACGTCCGGTCTGAAGTTTCTCTCAGTAAACAAGAAGGCCGCGGCCCGGCGGCGGCTCCGGGCCCGGGGCGCTTCCTGCCGCCGGGCAGCGCGGCCGAGCGCCGCGTTTAAAAGGCGCCTTCCCGCCATTTTGGCCGCGTCCCGGCGGGGGCTGAGGGGCGCCCCGAGAGCGCGGACGGGGGCGGGCGCGCAAAAAAAAAAACGAGCCGCGCTCGGACGGCGGCGCCGGGAAAGTTTGTCGCGGCTCGGGGCGAACCGCCGCGGGCGGCCGCCGGGAACGGAGCGACCAGCCGCCCTCGGCCAGGCGCCGCGCCGCGGCGGTGCGGAGCGGCCGCGATGGCGCGGGCCGCGGGCGGAGGAGGTCAGCGCCGCGCGGCCGCTTCCATTTTGTGCGGCGGAGAGCCGCGCGGCCCCCCGCGGCCCCGACACGCGCGTCGTCCGCCCGGGCCCTCCGCACGGCGCCGAGGCCGCGGGACCCCCGCCGAGGGGTGGCCGGGCCGGGCGGGAGGGAAGAGGAGGAGAGGCAGGCGCGGAATGGCCGCTCCGCTGCCGCGCGCACAGAACATGGCTCCTTCCTCCCTTCCTTCCCTTTGTGTGAGCGCGCCCGTACCCTGGCGCACACGCTCAGCCATTGCAGCCGGGGGAAGGCGGGCGGGAGGGGGGGGCGGGAGGCGGGTGGGTGCGGGGGATTGGGGGGAGGGGGGGGGAGAGGCCGGCTCGCTTCCAGCGCCCGCCCGAGCCCCGGCGGAGCGGGCAGAGCCCCACGGAGGACCCCCGCCGCCAGCCGGCCGAGTTTAAAGCCCCCCGGGCCGCGGCCCTCGCGGCGGGGCGAGCGGCGGCGGCCGCAAAAAAAAGTTCCCCCGAACTGCGCCCCCGCCCGCCCGAGCTCCTCGCTGCTCCGCCGCCGCTCGCCTTGTTTTCTCGCTCGCGGCTGCCGTCAGCCATGTTACAGCCAGGCGGCTCCGGGGCGAACGGCTCCCGGCCCCACGGCCCGGCCCCGTCCGACGGCGCGGCGCGGCACCGCACCGCACGGCGCGGCCCGGCCCGCACGGCGCCTGCCCGCCCGCCGCGGCGATTGCTCCGGCGCGGCGCCCTAAGCCGCTTACGGCGGGCACGGCGCGGCGCGGCTCGGCACGGCGCGGCTCGGCACGGCGCAGTCCGCGCCCCCCGCCTGCCCGCAACCCCGTGATTGGCGCGCGTCGGCCGCGCCCCCCTCCTGCCCGTTCTCCCCGCTCGCCCGCCCGGGTCCCCGCGTCCCCGCCGCCCGCGCTCCGGCCCCCGCCCCGGCCGAGGGTCGTCCGTCAGGAAGGGACCCCCGGGCGCAGCCCCTCGCCTTTGTGTGCCGGCTCCCGGCCGCCGCTGCCCCGCGGCCCCTCGGCCAGGCGGCGGCGGCGGCGAGGCGAGGCGGGCAGCGCCGGCTGCGTGCCCGGCTGCGAGGGCGCCCGGCCGGCCCGGCGGCCCCCGGCGCCTACTCACCCGCGTCAGAGTCGGCACGCAGCCTTCGCTCGGCCCCCAGCCCCAGAGACGCCCGCCCGGCCGCTCGCCCCGGCCCCAGCGCTGCCTGGGTCCCTGTGTAGCCCAATGCACCGCAATGGCTGTGAGAGCGGGATCGATACGCAGCCTCCTCACACTCTCGGCGCTGGTAACATTACTCTCAACACAGCCCCGTCCCCATTGGCTGCCGCCAAGCCAGCCGCCGCGCCGATTGGCCCGGGCCCTTCCATTGTCCTGACCAGAGAGCTCCGCCGATTGGGCGCGGCGCGGGACACGTCACTGAGGATTGAAAGGGCGCGCAAATATAAAAGTGAGTGGAGGGAGCCGGGCGGCGGCGGGACGTAGAGTTCTGAGGCGGCTGCTCGGCGCCGCACCGCCGACCGCGAGCGCCGCGGCCCGCCGCCGCCTCCGCGGGCCCCGCGCTCCCGAGGCTGCCCCCCGACCGCTCCGGGGAGCCTCCGCGCGCGACCCCGGGGGAGCGCAGAGCGGGACGCGGCGCCGCGGGCGCTCGCGCGTCTCCTCCGTGGCGCCGCTGCCCCCTCCGCAGCCCCGCTTCCCGCAGGCGGACACCGAGGTGCGGCTGCGGGGTGCCGCGAGGTTCCGGCCCCCGTCCCGCCGCGCTCCTCGTGCGGCCGCGCTGGGAGCCGGGCGCGGGGTCCGACTCTTGCGGCGGGGTCGCGTCTCTCGGGGCGGGGCACCTCACGCCGGGGACCGCGAGGAGGAGGAGCTGAAGGCGCCGGCGCTCCGTTATTGCCCGTGGGTGGAAGGGAGCGAGGGGGGCTGTCCGAGCAGCTCCCCCCGCGGGCTCCGCACAGGCGTCCCAAGCCGCAGCCAGCGGGGCCCGAGCCCGCAGGGCAGCCGCCGGCCCCTCGCTGCCCGGCCCTCGTGCCCGCCGCTCCGCTGCGCGGGACGCCGAGTGCAAGGAGCGCCGGCCGGCTGCACCTGCGGCGCTACGACTGCCCCGCGGCAATGAGCGGTGACAGGACGAACGCAAACCGCTCACCTTTCCGCAAGGGCTGTTTTTTACCAGTCCTCACCGCAGTAACAAAGCGAAACGCCGCTATAAACCCAAAACCCGGTTCTTTCTTCGTCACTTACTGCAGCGGTAACACAGGTGGTAGACAACACTGCTGGAGGATCCACACAGTCCTGTGAGGTGCTTTAGCATTCTAAATGTGAAAATACTACCGAGCCTTGCTCGACCCCAATCCCTTCTGAAACTTGATGAAAAGAAGGCCTTAAGAAAACACTCAATTAACTACTGCACATCAGCGTGACCAATAACAAGGCTTAGGTAGTAAACTGTATTAGCCTCTAAATTAATAAAGCCATTAGTTCTCCCTTGATCAGACCATGGCTAATGGCACTTGCTAGCAGCAACGAGGCACAGCAGAAGAGGAATCCTCAGGAAGTATCTGAAGTTCCCAACAAAACCAACTCCTCAAATCCAAGAGAAATAATGCAGTGCAAGTTTTCATTTAGCACACACTGCTTAATTCTTAATTAGTGACAATTGCAGCCTACTAACGCTAGGCTTCTACAAATGGAAAGTGTACAAACACTGAGGAATTTTTAAAAAACCCCAAACCCACATCTTCGAGTCATAATTGTACTGGTTACCAGTGCAGCCAGGTCTGAAGTCAATAAACTAGCATCCTCTGCTTCCTCTTTCTTTAGACACAAATGCGATTAAAAAGATGCCAGCTGTACTGCTACCAGCTCACTGCAGACACTTTCACTCTGGGATGGCTCAATTCTCTACTTGTTTGCATCTGCTAGGTGGACTGAATCATTTCCATAGAATCACAGGTTGGAAAGATCGCTTAGTCCAACTGTCCATCACCAATATTGCTCACTAACCACATCCCCCAGTGCCATATCTCCCAGGGATGGTGACTCCACCACCTCCCTGGGCAGCCCATTCCAGTGTCTCACCACTCTTTCTGGTATTTTTTTTTTCTTTCCTATTATCCAACCTGAATGTAATTGTATCAGTATTAGAATGCTATTAAAATTTACCCAAAAGCTCACCTGGCACCGTGGTCTCAAAGAATTAAGCCACACAAGAGGCTGTGGGAGGCTGACTGGATTTCCTACAGACTTGCAGTTTGACGATCCTGGGACAAACCTTAGTGCTTGCTCTTCTTGCAGTGGGGTGACGTTTTTAAATGTCTGTGGGACGCTGCAGCAAACAGCAAACACCTAAAATGAGCAGATCCCTTAACTGAGGCTGCAGGTGCTGCTCTGTCAGAGTTACCAGATGGGATGGAGTATAGCAACACTTTAAGCATCGACCCAGAGTGCTACACACCAGTTACTGGTCTCAGTGTCACTCTGACCTTTGCGTTATATTAGATGATATGGAACAAAAATTGCAGGTTTTTTTCTTCACTAGCTTACTTCTTTCAACATGCTTTTACACATGGGACTATTAAGTCCCATGGAAGCAAAATACAGGTTCTATAAAGGCTAAAATAGGTTCTTGTTTATGTGGTTGGCAACACATCATTAAATGCAGTAAGCTAAAGTTGTTTGGCCTCATATGATGCAAGCCATCTCCCAGTAAGCATTTGAAGATGTAACAGGGCAACTTTATTGTTCAAGAAATACATACCAGGGCTTCTTCTAAGTGTTATCCAAACTTCTCATACTTTTTCTCTGATAATTCTTCTACCCAAGAAAACTCAGATCTCTCTTCACAGTCTTCCTAAGCAAGTGGGCCATCCATGGTTGAGGAACAGGCTCCACAGATTGCACACACATTTACAGGTCTTCTGATGGAACATTTTAATTATTTTTCACCTTAGTTACTCCTGAGTCCACTCACTTCTGTTCTGTTAACCCAGAGTCCACTCACTTCTGTGCCTGAGCTGCGTGCTGCTGCTTGATTTCCATTACTGCCTCCCAGCTTCTTTCCTTCCGTAGCTGATGCTTCTTTTAAGGCACTGCTGGCAAGAAGGCAAACAAATTCCAAATATTCTATCGCAATTATCAACTGTTTGTCAAGGAGGGGTGGTGCTTTATGGAAGTCAAAAATCCTTCCAAATAATTACCCTAATTGAAAGACTCATTTGCAAGTAAATGCTGATAGATACACGAAGATAGCAGATATCTGAAATCATGTGAAATACATCAGGAGTAAAAAATCATTTTGTCTCCAAGAGGGTTGGTTTCTTTTTTTGGCTAGTTTCTGTCTTGAAGTTTAAAATTTATCTTTACACAGAATAAGAATTTATTTGGCCTACTGTGCAGTTTCTGCTAACTCTGCACATCCTGAACTTCTTTAAGGTTTCTTCTGTGCAAACACGACCTGCAGAGGAGGAATTAGAAGCATTTATTCTCAGCTGTTGTCTAGAACCAACAGTTTTTAAAAAGGTGAGCATTGAGGGGATTCTGCTAAGGTGACATGCTCCACCAAAGGTTTCTCCTCATCTCAGCTATTCATATCTTAAGACCTGTGCATGTTTCCATGTTCCAGTGGACTTCTTCTGCTGCTCTTGACTACAGAAAAAAAAGAATTTACTCATCAGTTGTAGAATCCTGGTTTGTTTGTTTGTTTTTTTAAGAAGCAGCACGTTTCTTCTCTTGTTCATGCCGTGCCACATCTCTTCCAATACTTTATAAATATGCCTTCTGCAAACTCTTCTAAATCAAAATCTGCTCTAAATTACACTCCACATAACCAGTGCAACCACTGAGATCGCTTGGATAACATGAGCCACCTCAGCCTTCACACCAAGAGGCCTTCACGTTCTAACATCACAACACAATCGCTCTGCAAAAAAAGTAAGTAGCTTCACAGGAAGTTTCAAAATCCTTATTTAGTATTGCTGATGTTTTGCAAACTAGGGTGTGCTTCAGGAAAAGTCACATGGATTGGATGCTGTATTGCAAGGAAAGAATAAGACCATGCTTTCTACTGTATGTCAATTTTCAACTACTTTGTTTCTTAACAATATCCATTGTAGCTAGTTACTGGACAACTAGCAGAAGTATTTGCAAGAAGCCTACTGGTTCAACTGCTTTTCCATGCAAGGCAGGCTAAAGTTGGATGGAAACATCAGCTATATATTTTCTTTACTGTTTTTCAAAACATCTTTTTTTGTTTTCCATTTTCTTTAGAGTTCAGAGAGAGAGAGAATCAAGAGAAAGGCTTCTCCAAAGACAGAACCATTCTTCAAAACAGCGTGTTTCTAAGTAATAACAGAAAAGTTCTTACTAAATGAAAATGAAAACAATCTTTTATTTACTTAAACATACACTCCCACTTCAAAACATCCATGCAGATCATAACTTAAGATTTCTAGCAAAGCCAAGCAACAATAGAGAATCCCAAGGAAGGGAACAGAGACCACAGAGACATCTGGTCGACAGTAATCAAGAGACAGGTGCAGAGTTGGTATCTGCTTCCTTCCCAGCTGCCCAGTGACTTTGTGAAGCACACTGATGAGACTCTTCCTAACAGAATTTTCAAGGAAGTCAAACTATGTAACAGGCCAGGCCTGAGAAAGACTCAGCCCATTTGCACTCTGTGGTTGCTGACAGAGGTGAGAAAAGGAACTTGCATCAACTCCATGAGACAAAGGAACACTGCAGGATGGGGCAGCACGCTTCTCGTGAGGTGCTATGTCACCAGCTTCTTTGATAGCTTTTGCATTCTGTGAGGAACACTGCCCACCTACAGTGGTTTTGGCTGGAAGGCAGATGGTTTCATAGCTTGCTTTGACAATACAGAGATTTGGTGACATCAATGGAACTCCAAATTTTGCCTCTGTCCTTCCTACTGAGCAAAGAGATCTTAGTTTCTTCAGGTCAAAATTAAGAGTATATTACTTTTACAATGACATGACAACAACTAACATGTTAGTCAAACCCAAAGCCACAACTAGGCTATTTTTAATGAGATCTGAAAGCCTTTCTTGACAAAAATGCTACATTATCAGCTCAAAATGACTTTGCAAAGACTTTGCAAAGGCAGGGCACTCGGCCACATGCATTACGATAGAGCTGCTGGGGATAGACACTCCTTTTAAAGCTCTTCCAGTCATACAGGAGAGTAGGTTGTTCACAATACGCTCAGAAATAAGTACTACCTGTATTTACCTCTTCCTGAGGCTGCAGTGCCAGCTCCTACACAGCCCATACAAACAT